GGCCCATCAAGACTCACTCTCATTTCATCAGTCCATAAAACCTTAGAAAAATCAGTCTTGAGATTTCTTGGCCCAGTCTTCACGTTTCAGCTTGTGTGTCTTGTTCAGTGGTGGTCGTCTTTCAGCCTTTCTTACCTTGGCCATGTCTCTGAGTATTGCACACCTTGTGCTTTTGGGCACTCCAGTGATGTTGCAGCTCTGAAATATGGCCAAACTGGTGGCAAGTGGCATCGTGGCAGCTGCACGCTTGACTTTTCTCAGTTCATGGGCGGTTATTTTGCGCCTTGGTTTTTCCACACGCTTCTTGCGACCCTGTTGACTATTTTGAATGAAACGCTTGATTGTTCGATGATCACGCTTCAGAAGCTTTGCAATTTAAAGAGTGCTGCATCCCTCTGCAAGATATCTCACTATTTTTGACTTTTCTGAGCCTGTCAAGTCCTTCTTTTGACCCATTTTGCCAAAGGAAAGGAAGTTGCCTAATATTATGCACACCTGATATAGGGTGTTGATGTCATTAGACCACACCCCTTCTCATTACAGAGATGCACATCACCTAATATGCTTAATTGGTAGTAGGCTTTCGAGCCTATACAGCTTGGAGTAAGACAACATGCATAAAGAGGATGATGTGGTCAAAATACTCATTTGCCTAATAATTCTGCACTCCCTGTATGATTTCATTATAAATGTACTTTGAGATATATACACATATATCTCAAAATACACTTATAAGGAAATCATATATATACATTATATATGTATAATATATTATAAAATGCTTTATTTATAATATATTATACATATATAGGAAATAAAAGTGTGTGTGTGTGTATACACACCCACACCCACACACGTATATACACACGTATTATTTACACACGTATCATATGTTTGTATGTGTGTGTGTCGATAGATATATAGAACATTTCTTTTTTATAAAAATACAAAAAAAAAGAGGCTTTCTTTGGCTAGCGTTTGTGACTAAGTGGCTACTACAAAAGACTGGAAATACCCCATTTGGAATACCGTGGGTCATCTACAGTTGAAAATGGTATTCCATGATGGGGTTATTTCACATTCCTGGGCTACCATATGGTCTCAAAAGGCAACACAGACCCAGCAAACCAATCTGTCAAACTGAATTGGGCAAGCCCTATATTGACCCTGTAACTTTCCAAAACACCATAAAACCTGTACATGGGGGTATTGTTATACTCAGGAGACTTCACTGAACACAGTATGAGTATTTACAACAGTAAAACTTATCATGACGATGAAATCACCAGTAAAAGTGCAATTTTTGTGTTAAAGAAATGCAAAAAAAATATGAATGATAAATTTGGCAAGCGTTTGTGGCTAAGTGGCTACAACAAAAGACTGGACGTACCCCATTTTAAATACCGTGGGTTGTGTACTTTTACAAATGACATGATGGGGTTAATTTTCATTCCTGGGTTGCTATACGGTTTCAAATGTAACAAACCAATCTAGAAAATTTCAATGTGCAAACATGGAACAGGGAAAAGCCCTACATCTGACCCCTGTAAGTTTGCAAAAACCCATAAAACCTGTACATTGGCGGCACTGTTGTACTCGGGAGATGTTGCTGAACACATATTGGGGTGTTCTTTGTCAGTAACACATAACAGGAACTGAGAATCAATGCCTAAAGTACAATGTGAGAGAAAAATAGCACACAAAAAATGACTACCCAAAGGTTTGACAAAGACTGGTGGTAGAATTAGTGCATGAAAAGTGTTAAAATACCACCATTTGAAATACCCTAGGGTGTCTACTTTTCAAAATATATGGTTCGAAGGAGGTAAATTACATTGGCCAGCTTCAAAAATGTCCCAAATAGGACATGGGTGCATGATGACAGGCTGTGAAAATTCCAAGTTGGAAAACTGGAATTCGCACCCTCCAAATAAGATCTTTTAGCCCCCAGAGAACCCGACACACCTATACATGGATCACTGTACTCAGGAGATGTTGCTGAACACATATTGGGGTGTTCCTTGGCAGTAAACCTTAATGTTCTCCGTACATGTATTCTTAAATTGCTATGTGTGTCAAAAAAATCACCAATTATTTTTATTTTTTTAAAATATGGCATAGATTGGTGTTAAAATTATGGCATGAAAAGAGTCAAAATACCCCAAGTTTAATACCTTAGGTTATCTTCTTTAAAAAAATATATATATGTGAAGGGTTATTCGGGGATTCCTGACAGATATCAGTGTTACAATGTAACTTGCGTTAATTTTGAAAGAAAATGGTTTGGAAAAAGCAAAGTGCTACTTGTACTTATAGCCCTATAACGTTCCAAAAAAAGCTAAAAACATGTTAACATTGAGTATTTCTAAACTCAGGACAAAATTTATAAACTATTTAGCATGAGTGTTTGTTGGCAGTTGTAGATGCGTAACAGATTGTGGCGGTCAAAGTTCGGAAAAGTGTGTTTTTTTTACATTTTCCATCATATTTTATAATTTTTTTTATAGTAAATTATATGATTAAAATAATGGTATCTTTAGAAAGAACATTTAATGGCAGGAAAAACTGTATATAATATGTGTGGGTACAGTAAAGGAGTAAGACAAAAATTACAGCTTAAAAGACGTGGTCTGGGTGCCAGGTCCAGCTAGGGTTAACCCATTGTTTTATAAACATAGCAGTTTCAGAGAAACTGCTATGTTTATCAATAGGTTAAGCCTTCCCCCAAAGCCTCTAGCGGCTGTCTCATTGATTTTCACAGTGAGAGCACGCCAGCGTCCATAGAACAGCATTGATAATGCTTTCCTATGCGACCGGCTGAATGCGCGCGCAGCTCTTGCCGCGCATGCGCATTCGGCCGATGGGGCGGATCGGAGGCGGAGAGGAGGAGGAGAGCTCCCCGCCAAGCGCTGGAAAAAGGTAAGTTTTTACCCCTTTCCCCCTTCCAGAGCCGGGCCCTGAGGGTGGGGGCACCCTCAGGGCACTATAGTGCCAGGAAAACGACTATGTTTTCCTGGCACTATAGTGGTCCTTTAACACAAACACTGCAGAAATGTAAAAAGAGCCCTGGTCCTTAACGGTAAGAAAATTGAAAAACGGTCTGGTCACTGGTAAGGGGTTAAACTTGAAATCGTGTAGTGAGACAGAGCTTGGTCTTGACTGATATAATTCGTTTCATCTTTCCAGTCTCTTAAAGGGACAGTTTGGACACATAACAACTTCATCTAAGTAAAGTTGCTATAGTTCATTATGGTGTTAGGAGGCCCCCCGGATCACTTTTACCTCAAGTTGTTAAACCGTTTTCGAACGTTTTAACCCCAAAGTTAGCGCCAGTCTCAGCTCCCTCCCAAGCAGCATCCGCCTTCTGAAATGTAACTTTTTTTCCCCCAGGCAAGGATGCCGCTTATTGGCTGAGAGCTGCCAGCTGATGTTCTCAGCCGATCAGTAACTCCTCATTCACAAAACTGGCTTGGAAAAGGTACGTCTGAATCTACAAATATTTTCTGGCAGCATCAAAAAGCCAAGCGAATGGGCTATTCTACAATTAAAAGTAGTTACGGATTTATTCATTAAAACCAAATTTGTTTTCGATTGAAAACCTAATTCCCAAATGTTTAACAATAGCAGAGTTGTGGATGTTTTTCCAAATCAGCAGTTTCTAATTACATTTTACAATTTTTAATTTACACAGTTATTTCAGTGTTTAGTAAATGAAGCCTCTCTCTCGACACCTTTCTGAAGAGGTCAAAGTGTTTTAGAACTGTTTGACTTCTTCCCAGTGGTCTACCGAGTGCAGCACCCTGCCTGCACTACTTGTGACAGAGAGCCAGAAGCTCTCTGTCTAAACTTAACTTGTCGATCAGCTAATTGGCTCAGATACATCAGCTGATGCTTTCAGTCAGAGGCTAGACATACACTGAAGGGCTTAGCTCAGTAGAGTTAGCGTAAGCAATTGCCAAGGGGCTCCTTATTCTCTGGTAGATATAGTAGAGGGGGGTGAAGCACCCGGCAGATCTTAGTTAAGCAATTAAACCTTTCTAAAATTTTAGTGCAAGGCTGTGCATTAGAGGAAAGTTGTTTTTTATTTTTATTTAATTTTTTTTTTATTTACAAAAATTACTTTTGGATAGTGTAGCTCCTGTTTTTTAAGTAGATAGTGACCTACCTGCATCCCACGTCCAATATAAACATTTTATTCCAAGAATGCCTGTTTGTACTAAGATGAAAAGCCATCACATATGTCCTTAATTTGTTGGGAATGTTTTTTAAGTGCCTTGTTTTGGTGCCACAAACATTCTGTCTTGTCGCTCTCAATCATTGTTGGTTCTTTTACACCACCAACTGAGCCAAGGCGTGCCTCCAAAATATCAGTCTTTGGACCAGCTGGTCTTTCGCTTTTCAACTCTGGCCAGTTTCCCTTCCACTTTGGTGACATGTTTGGAAATTTTTTCCATTCTTACTTTTCTCCACCTCTGGGAGAGATTCCCTTTTACTGCCGAGAGATGTTATAGCAATATTACTTTGCCTCACCTCCGAGAAAACTTCCTTTTCACTACAGCGAGCTGTGTCCACAATTTTTCCTCATCTCTTGCTCCCTGACTCTGGGACTGCTGCCTTTCCACATTTTTTCCAGATCTCCTGCTCTCCAGCTCTGAGATTTTGTCCCTTCCACTGCAGCGAGATGGTTTTGCAATTTTTGGTCTTTTGTTCACCAACTCTGGGACAGCTTTTACAGCACTCTTCTGGTGTGTCTTTGAAGATTCTAATAACTTGTGTGTCTTCTCCTGGTACTTTATCATGGTTTGGGTTAAGGGAGGCAACTTTTCCTCATACGCCTTTGTATTCTGCCGGGGTCCACTGCTGCTCGTTCCATACATTGCAGTTTTCTTTGCATAAAGATGTTTAGGGCCATTGCGCTGCCATGTGTCTTGCCTGGTGAATAGCCTTACAAAACCCCCTCTCCTCTCTTCCTCCCTATCCTTAACCCAATAAAAGTTCTCCTAATTGTATGCGTTAGCTATGGTAAGTTTTTCTTTTTTCTCCACAGGATTCTTACACTTCACACCGACTAAAGAAAGCATATCTGCAGTCAAATTGCTCTTGATTTTTAAATTGAGGAAATCATCACAAGTTACAGATGGAGACGTGTTAACCTCCAGGAGCCAGGGACTCTGGTTCTCATCGATCAATACATCAAAGCCATAGAGTTCAAAACAGTTTATTTTGTGAGGTGTATATCTGCATGACGTGGTGATTGTTTCTTCTGCGGAAATAATTGTCTTGATGACAAGATCCTCTATATTGGAGATGAGGGTTGGTGTGTCCTTACAGTTCTTATTTAAGTAACGCAACAGACCACTGAAGCTCCATTGACTGCCACAGTCTTCAGCGTCTGGATTCTGACTTCTCACAAAAGATGTACTCTCCTTGTTTACGCTGTAGTTAGTTAAATGCATAAACCTGTTGCTCATGGTGTTTTCTGTCAGTTCGTACTTTTCAGTGGCAAATCTAGTGATTCTTTCCTTATATAAATAAATAATTAAAGGATCATAACATGTGACCAGCACGTAGAGGCGGAGATCAAATTTAAGCCCTTCTATGAAGAGGGGATTATTGATATATTTGGAGACCAGGATCTTATTTTTACTGATCATTTAGGTGAGATTGAATAAGGTTTATTCCATGATCTTCACAAGAAGACACTGGTTTTGTAATCCAAGTACCTCGATCTTTTAATAAAGCTTTGCAGAAATCCTTGTACTGGCCAGGAAGCACATAGTTCACGGGCAGGAAGTCAAAACTGTGGTCCCTGTGTTTTTTCTGCTGCTTTTGAGGATTTTTATAAGTTGATCTTTGTGGCCCAGTGCATTCGATTTTGGGAAGTGATTAATTCTTTGAAAGCTGGAAAGGTTTGTTACGAGACCTAGTTTCTGGAGGGGTCCTGTCCAGAGCACATTCAAATTTGTGCTGGTGGCTTCTGCCTCCTGGAACCCATGAGCGGACAGAATTTCTTGGATCAGACTACACCCTCCAATTACCATCTTATATGAAAGGTGGTAACGGTCCCCCAATTTGTGAGGACATGTCTCTCCAGTGACAGCTTTTAGTCTAAATCTCACAACTGGAGTTTGGCTAAAACTATTGGTGCCCAGCATGTAGGACTTCACCTCCTGGTGCTCCATTTCCTGGCACTCAGTAGAGGGAAGAATATGAAAAGAGACACAGAAAGTGGGGGAAGTATATGGAGAAAATTGGATGTGGAGGGGTATAATATGAGAGAAGGAGCAGAAGGTGAGGGAGAATTTGGAGTAAGTTGAAGGGAAGTGGAAAATGTTATGTTCATATACATTGAATATTACTTTAGTGAGCACAACAGCACACAGAGTCTTCACTAAATTCTTGTTTGTAGCAAATGCAAAACAGAATTGTAAATGTAAAACTTAAATATAGAAAGCTGCAGCTATAGCACAGTTGAAGGATTTCTTTAATTATTAATGTTTGCTTAAAAAGGCTTACTCCAACCACAACATTTCCCCAAAAAAGACCCTGTTCACAGCGTAGGTAATAAAATAGTGTGCTACAAATCTATATGAAATTCACTTTATTATGCATCCATAAAAATACAAAATACGCAAATAATGACAAACGACCCCTCAATTCCTCTACCGTATCGTGTGGAATGTCCACACTTAATATTTCCTGTGGATTTGGACCACAATATTTTATTAACTATGATGTGAACAGAGGAGTATTTTTTGAGAAATGTTTTGTTAATAAATTGTGGATTACTACTTTTGAAAACCCACGTACAAGTGAGTGTCTGCTGTGTTTAAATATTTTGTTACTCCAGCCACTATGACCACTTCAGCTTTTTGATGTGATCATGGTGATAGCAGCCTTAATCATCAAGATCAATGCTCTCAGCCAATCCAGTGCTTTGCCATAGGAAAACATTGGAAGCCTAGTGCGCATGTGCAACTGCCAAACGGTTCTTTCATGTTCTCTTCAGAACAGCAGTGTTTGCAGTTGCAGGATTAAAATGAAGTGTTGTGGGTACCTATAGTGTCTTTCAATTTGGAATCCACTTTTCTACAATAATGTGTATTACAGAATATCTACATATATAGCAAATACCAAGGTTATGGTGGGGGAAAAAAATGGGGTTGAAAACCCCTTCCACCTGAAGTCTGTGGATAGTGAATACAATGTTAAACAAAAATCTGCACACCAGTCAAGCCATAAGACTTGCTTTTCCCACAGAAATCACAAATTTGTAGTGATGTTACTACTGCAAAGGATTCTGGATGGGCATATGCAAATTAGTTAAACAGGTTCTCCAGTCAAATTTACTAAGCAGATATCTGATTTACGATTGTTTGTTTTATCTTTGTTGTAAAATTATAACATACTGTATTATATGTGGGTGCTAAATAATATCTGATAAAGATATTCTTTGTGTTGATATATGCTTAATTTATATAAGAATGAAATAACAAGTGGAATTCAACGTATTGAATAATTTTTTGGCGAAAGACAATTCCTGCATATTTAGGATCTGTTACTGCAGCTTCAAATTCTGTAATTGTTGATAAAAAATCATCTTTTGAAGATCATAATATTGATCAGAATCTATTTCTTTTGCAAGATACCGGTAGATGTTATTGTGTCACTGCTATTATTGTTGATAATTTTTTAATAATTTGTCATGGGTGCTTAATATTCATATCCCACTATCTACCATAAGAATAATATTCCCACATGTTTGAAGCATTTTTTTTGTTACATATATATGGAAAAATCTTTAAATAAGTTTTACTTCTTAAAGGGACACTATAGTCACCAGAACAACTACAGCTTAAAGGGACACTATAGTCACCTGAACAACTTTAGCTTAACCCCTTAAGGACCAAACTTCTGGAATAAAAGGGAATCATGACATGTCACCCATGTCATGTGTCCTTAAGGGGTTAATGAAGCAGTTTTGGTGTATAGAACATGCCCCTGCAGCCTCACTGCTCAATCCTCTGCCATTTAGGAGTTAAATCCCTTTGTTTATGAACCCTAGTCACACCTCCCTGCATGTGACTTGCACAGCCTTCCATAAATACTTCCTGTAAACAGAGCTCTAGTTAGGCTTTCTTTATTGCAAGTTCTGTTTAAATAAGATGATTTTCTTATCCCCTGCTATGTTAATAGCTTGCTAGTCCCTGCAAGAGCCTCCTGTATGTGATTAAAGTTCAATTTAGAGATTGAGATACAATTATTTAAGGTAAATTACATCTGTTTGAAAGTGAAAGCAGTTTTTTTTTCATACAGGCTCTGTCAATCATGGCCAGGGGAGGTGTGGCTAGGGCTGCATAAACAGAAACAAAGTGATTTAACTCCTAAATGACAGTGAATTGAGCAGTGAAATTGCAGGGGAATGATCTATACACTAAAACTACTTTATTTAGCTAAAGTAATTTAGGTGACTATAGTGTTCCTTTAACCCCTTAAGGACTGGACTGTTTTTGCGATGTTGTACATTTGCGACCAGGAATATTTTTACACTTTTCTGGTGTTTGTGTTTGGCTGTAATTTTCCGCTCTCTCATTTACTGTTCCCATACAAATTATATATTGTTTTTTTCAGGACAAAAGGGGCTTTCTTTACATACCATTATTTATATAATCTCATGTATTTTAATTTAAAAAAAATACAAAAATCTGATGAAAAATTGAAAAAAAATACATGTTTTTTGACTTTTACTTGAAAAATCTTTTACTCATCTACAAAAGCGAATGAAAAAAACTGCTAAATAGATTCAAAATTTTGTCCTGAGTTTAAAAATACCCAGTGTTTACGAGCTTTTTTGCTTTTTTTTGCATGTTATAGGGCTACAGGTACAAGTAGGATATTGCGGTTTCAAAACATGCATTTTTAAAATTTATCAATAGTGACATTGTAACACTATTATCTGTCATAAATCTCTGAATAACACCCCACATGTACATATTTTTTTTAAAGTAGACAACCCAGGGTATTCAATATGGGGTATGTCCAGTCTTTTTTAGTAGCCACTTAGTCGAAAACACTGGCCAATGTAAGCATTCATATTTGTTTGTGTGTGAAAAAAGTAAAAAAACTAAATTGAACGCTAATTTTGGCCAGTGTTTGTGACCAAGTGGTTACTAAAAAAGACTGGACATACCCCATTTGCAATACCTTGGGTTGTCTTCTTTTGCAAATGGTATGCCATCATGGGGGTAATTCTCATTCCTGGGCTACCATACGCTCTCAAAGGCAACGTAACCAACCTGGCCATTTTCAATGTAAAAATATTTGACCCATGTATTTGACCTTGTAACTTTCAAAAATGCTATAAAACCTGTACATGGGGGTACTGTTTTACTCGGGAGATATCGCTGAACACAATATTAGTGTTTAAAAACTGGAAAACGTATCACAACAATTATATCATCAGTAAAAGTGCTGTTTGTGTGTGAAAAATGCAAAAACAGTAACTTTCACTGACAATATCATCGCTGTGATATGTTTTACTGTTTTGAATCACTAATATTTGTGTTCAGCGAAGTCTCCCGAGTAAAACAGTACCCCCCATGTACAGGTTTTAGGGTGTCGTAGAACGTTACAGGGTAAAATACAGTGCTAGCAAATTAAATTCTCTGGAATTTCGGCCTGGGCTGGCAGGCAGGTCCCTCAAATTGCAATCAATAAAATTACTGAATTATGTAAAAATATTACATAAATACGCACGTAGATTTTAAATATATATGCATATTTATATATTTGAAGTCTACGTGTATATTTATATAATTATTTATGTAATTTTGTATATGGACGTATGTATATTTCTTATTATTTTTATTTATTTTTATATACATAGATATATATAAAAATTCATTCTAAGTGTATTTTGATATAAATATATATATATTAATTTTAAAATACAGTTAGAATAAAATTTCATATAGCTATATAATTTTTTTTAAAAATTTTATTATTATTTTACATTTTTTTTTATTTAATTTACTTATTATTTATATTTTATAATAATATATATATACAATCTATATAGTTATTATATATATTATATATATACGTGTGTAATTTAATTATAAGTGTATTTTTATATTAATATAAGTACATATTAATATAAAAATACACTTAGTATGACATTATATATATGATATAGACATATATTATATAGATATAATATATGTCTATATATCATATATACACATATATAATTATTATTTTTTTTTTATTAACATTAACTTTATTTTTTTTTTTTGATTTTACACTAGCAGGGAGACTGCCTGTCAGCACAGACAGTCCCCCTGCAGGCAGACACATGGACACCTATTGTGACCATGTGATCGCTATGTTGAGCGATCACATGGCCACAGGGGTCCTAATTCAGTGTGGGGAGACTGTCTGGGCTGCAGGCAGTCTCCCCACACCGGGAGCA